TCAACTTGCTATCTACACTGACAACACAATCATTTACGTCAGCCTTGATAGTAAGGCTGATCAGTCCTTCAAGGTCAAAATGTCAGCCAGTGCCCAAAACCACCTCAAGTCCGTCGTTAACTGGGGCAAAATATGGCTTGTTAACTTTAATGCATCCAAAACTAAACTTCTCTTCTTTAATCATTTAAGTGTCACCTCTCTGCCTTCCATCATCTTGGCTAATGCTAACCCCCAGGAAAGTGACTCGTTGCGTCTTCTCAGGCTAACATTCTCAGCTGATTTGAAGTGGAAAGACTATATTGAATCCATTGCTAGGTCTGCAGCTAAGAAGGTTGGCTCACTATGCAGTGCTAGACAAGTTTTTTTTTTTTCTCCAGAATCTATCATACATATCTATAAGTCTACTATTTGTCCATGCTTAGAGTATTGATAAAATCCGAAGAAGAATCCGCAATATTATTGGTCCTGACCTGGCGTCTCGGCTTCACTTTTCCATCGGCTTTAGGCTGTCACTCTGAATCTTTGCTATAAATGTTTTCATGGTAATTGTTTAGATGAGCTCTTCGTTATGATACCTAGACTTTTGAATTTAAGTCCAGGACTAGACTAGCGACGATCTCTCATGAATTTACAGTTGATTCGGCTATATGTAGCCATAAGTTCTATGCTAACTGTTTCTTTTCTCGCATACATACTCTATCATTAATTATTTTTTATTATTGCTAACTTTAATCTATCTCAATTTTGACCGTTCATTATTTTTACAATTGTTTTTATATGATCCTTATATGATCCTTATATGATCCTTATATCTATGTCCTGTATTATTTTAGTTATTTTTTAAAAAAATATATAAATTTCAATTTACCCCTGACCCGTCATAACACCCCTTAGTAATATCAAAACTAATTTATCACATCTTTTTTTCCGTTAATTTTTAATATTTATTGAATAATATAATTTTTTAATGTCACATAGATTATTTCTAACTGTCGTGAAACTGACGCATACTTAAAAAAAATATAACATAGATCTGGACAAGGCAATTAAAACAGCTACCCATTCTGAAAATCACTGAACAGGAATGTAAATGGATAAATTATACAAAAATGCTATTTTATGCGTTTAAAAAGTAAATTTACAAATAATTATAAAGCTCATTCTCTCGTGTTTTAAAGGGTAGTAGATATTCATTTAAAAATCAGTGGCTTGCCTTATTTAATAAATAATAATAATAATAATAATGATATATATATATATATATATATATATATATATATATATATATATATATATAAAGGCCTTGAGGACAACACTCACCAGTGACAGTCTGTTTCATGCTTAAACTCAGTCGTCAAGCAAGAAAACTACGCACACAAAACACATTTTGCAAATAGTAAATACGTGAACAGCACAATACTTTCTAAACATATATGGGAAATTAAAAACTAAAACTAAATTACAACAAAAATATCATTGAAAATAAGGAAAACAGCCTACAACAATAAATAAAAATGTAAAATCTGCCTGGAGTCTGGAGGAAGGAATAGCTATAATTATCTTCGAGACCAACACAAATAACTTAATAAACGATCAAAACACGAAAATGAATTTTTACTTCGATACTCAAAAATCGTGTACTAAAAGCGAACAAAAATAAATATAAATAAATAAGTAAAATAAATTAATCGAAATCAATATACAAGTAAATAAATTAAGTAAATAATTAACAAACAAGAACGCAAAGATAAACACAAGTAAACGTAATAATAACAACGAACAACAAATAATGAAATAATAAGAATGAGTAAAAATGTGAACAACAACAACGGTATAAAACTGCCAGAGAAGTGCATTCAGATCCACAATTATTTCCACTCAATAGTGTTGCAGTTTTTTGTGTATATATATATATATAACTAGTGAGCCAGTCAAAATGACTTGACTCACTTTATAAACCTACCAATAGAAGCTTAACCAATAAGAAGACGTAGAACATTCAATCCTTCGTGTATAAAGACGGCCTTTTTGTCCAGCTTGTCAGGCGAAGAGATAACAGAAGGACGAACTACGCTCTGCTACTTTTACCAAAATATCCACTGTTAACCAGAACAACGCTTTCCTACTGTCTTCGAAATATTCACTGCTAACCTCTGGATTCTATACTCGAAGACGACCGTCATCATGAACAACAAATAGCCCCTAGACGAATTCGACACCATTACCATCCACCCAACAGTTAGAAAAACACAATAGAGCTACTTATAATGGCCAAATAACCATTATATATAATTAATCGTGCTTAAACACAACGCATTTGAGTTTAAACATGAAAAAGACTGTTGTTATCCAGTTTTATATTTACATACGCTCTATCCCTGATATTGGGCACTTTAACCCATAAAACATGGCCATCATCAGGAGAGAAAAAATCCTGCTTGCAGGTAGCAATGAACTACAGAAATGAATGTCTTGATGGAGAAAATGAACATTTGTCTGTAGCTTTTATCAGTTTTTTTTTAACATGAATTTTGGGTAGTCCTTATATTGGTCAAACAGTCTCTTTTAAGTTGTTATTTAAGATAAGAGCTGGATGGATTCATGTTGCTCTGAATTCCCTTGGTCATTTTGACAGTTTTATTGGTTCCTGGAAAAGGGATGTTAAATGTGTGTGTGTTATTTGGTTCTTAGAGAGTGAGTGAGTATGATGTGTATAAGCATGGATATTACTATGGGTTTGTGTTATCATTTGGTTCATTAGGGAGTGAGTGAATATGGTGAGTGTAAGTCTGTATATTCGTGTGGGTGGGTGTGTGTATAATTGTGAGGCCTCAACATCTCCATACTCATGTCTGTCTTGTGTGGGTGAGAAATGTGGGTAGGTCCTGATTTGTGGGTTTATGTATTAATACAATCTATATTGTTAAATTTGTGATTAAGCCCGCCTGGATAGTGCGCTTTTAAACGTCGTATCCACTTATTTTCATGGAACTCTAAAATCCTTCT